AAAACTGAAATGAACGCCAAATATTCCAATTTACAGTTTGAGATACATTTCTCACAGTTTCCAAGGTTTTATTAAACAATACAAAAAGTTTAACTGTTCACACATGACTAACTATTATTTTTATGATTTCGTTGTAAGGTTCGTTTCGTTGGCGACACCTCAGAATAACGTGAAGAATAAAAGCAAAAAAGAAATGATGCATTTTACATCACAATTGATGTGTAAAATTCTTAATAATTTAATTATATCTAAAATTCTTGATTATGCGAAAATTATTATAGTTTGTTTAATTGATACACACACACATGAAAAATGCTTAATTTTTTGTATGGGTTTTATTCTAATTCTATACAAATTATGAGAGAAATTTATCCATGTTAAATTATATTTTTGAAGATTAATTTCATTAGTGATGAAAGCAGGCATTTAAAAAATCACCAAGGAGAATTTATTAGTCGCTAAAACAATAGCTCCTCGGGGACTAGCATAAATCTGTTTATCAGAACACAATTGAGTTTTCTTCTCTAAACACATATTTTTTTTATCATATCTATCACTCAATTTATATGGTGGAATAAAAAAAAATGGCTTTTTGTACACGTAGATTTTTATAACATGATTAAGTATTTTCTTTGTTTAAATATTTGAGGATACTACTGTAAAATTAAAATATATTTTTTTAATTCAGTGAGTATAAGTTACAGAAATTTAATGTTTCTAATTGGGACTTAACAACTGAAGTTTTCATACTGAGGTTTTTTTCAACTGTGGGTCATTCATAATTTCCTCTAAGATTTCGTAGGGTTGTAGTAAACAACTAGGCGAATACAACAAAAACGAACGTATGTAAGAATACAGGGGAAAAGTCTTATTATTTACATGTTTTATAGGTGTTTTATATGTGAACTCTGGTCAAAAGCAGTGCCGATTAAAGCTCATTTCGGGCTCTGGGCGTAGAAGATCTACAGCAGAGGTTCCCAAAACTTTTTTGTCTCATAGACCCCTTGCCATGTTTTTCGGTTTGGGGTAGACCACTGCTTAATGCTGAATTTTTGCAAATTTATCAATTTAAATGCCTTTGACAGCTGGTACTACTACTCCTACTTTAAAAGAATTAAAATTTTAACTGAAATAAAGTATATTATTTATAATTTTAAAAGCCCATGTTAATTAAGTGAATTAGAAGTATATTCATACGTAAAATTGTTAAAGATAACCAAACAATAAACAAATGATTTTAATGGAAGGGATGAATCTAGCGCTACATTATCGAATTTTCAACATTTGGTGTATCTCTCTAAATATTGCCAGGTTTAACATTTAATCTCCTCTGTTTGCTGTGTCCAGTTTTTTTTTTTTTTTTTTTTTTTTGTTTCGGAGATTGGCAGCCATGCTGAAACTTCTTCACACTGGGAAGATAAATTAAAAACTACCTTACGATATTCCGTAATTCCAGACAAATAACAGGTTTGACTTTTTAAAGCTAAAATTGCTGGCATTCATTTCTAAACTTTAAGATCTTCGTTAGTGCTTATTAGGATCTGTTCCTACTGTAATGGTGATTTTCTTTTTCAATGTGACCATATGAATTAATTGCTTACTGTGGTATTACTATAGTCAAAGCGTTCTCAAACCTGGTTTAAAAATCTGAATAAAAGACGTTTTAATGTGTAGAACGTAGGTTAAAACGTCCTAACAGATTGTGACAAATTGAGAAAATTCGGGACCTCCAGCATTATATTTCTTTAGCTTAACTCTGGAAAAAAACGCTGAAATTGTTGTTGTTTTAATAAAATTTATGATGTCACCTTGTAAGTGCAAATTAACCTCATTAAATTTAATAAATCTGTTAAATAAGTAAACCTGATTTCCATTTGACTAAATTTTCTTTTAAAATTAAAGTCACGATATAGTTTAATGAGAGCCACTATCATAGACCCTTCCCCTCCTTACACCTCATAGACCCCCAAAATTATTTTGCTGACGTGCAGGTCATGATAGACCCTAGGGGTCTATATAGACCACTTTACGAATCACTGATGTACAGGCTCCTTGGTACGGGTGAATCGAAATTTACAACCAAAAATTCTTGTTAAATAAAGCTTATTCAGGCCCCTGGGCACCCGGCTCAAGCGCCCAATGGATAAACATGCACTGGGCACAAAACCGATGTCCAGTTCCAGCCTCACTCTACTGAACATGATACTGTGAACGTTATTGATAGCACATTTTATCATTTTAATGTCAGCTGAAAACTTAGTTTTTTACATAAGAACAAGTTTTCGTACCTCCATGCTGCGTGATGTAGCAGAACAGCATGAAAGAATAACACGTGCTGTCAATAACGTCAACCCTTATTTCATGCGGGCCGTATATGAAGTTAAACGGGGGGGAGTGAGAAATGCTTTAAGTGAGTAAGTGAGTGAATATTAACGTCACACTGTTCAGCTACACGAGGGCTTTTGGTGACGGACCACGTAATTTTAAACCATGGTCAAGTGACGTGGACGACACCTGAGCTGGCAGCCCCCTTTCCTAACTACCACACCAACGGAAGGGTGCTTGAGCTCTCGACTGAATTAACGTGCATCGCTCCCCTACACGGTGGGTCTTTAGTGGTACTGGGCTCGAACTCGTGACAAGGCGAGCCACGATTCGATACCTTGATCACTCGGCTGCCGCGGCCAGAAATACTTTCAGACCAAAATAGCATTTGAAATTTAAAATGTGGAAATTGATCAAAATATTATAACTCTTATTTTGCTTTTTTTAATTATTATTTTTTATATTTGTCACTAACACTAAATTAAAAGAATTTAAGAAACGCTCCTTCTCAACTTTTGCATCAGTAAACACAGTTTCATATGATTATCAATAATATAACAAACTTCATAAGGTGTCTTTGTGACAAATCTATACGGAACTTTATCACTAAACTTCTGAGTCGTCCTTTTTAGGGAAATTTAATTCCCTACCTATTTCCAATCAACTCCAAAAAGCGGACAGGATTCCTTGTTATGCATATTAGATAAAGTATTTAAGTCAAACGGAATAGTAAAGTTAGAGCAGTAGGAGATAGAGATTGAAGCAGAAAGTTATAGTGAAGTTAAATTGAAGATTTCTTGTTAGATGATTTAATCTCAGATAAAAGCTGAGCTGAATTGCAGTGAGGTAAATATTAGTCTTATTATTGCGAATGAAATTAAAATTAAATGTTCAATAAGAACATAGAATATAATTCTGGGATCTCTTATCGTGGTAATCTCTGCGTGATCGTTATTTAATTGTTAATTAATTAGATCATTAATTAAGTTAATTTAAAGGATATTACCTTTAAAACCTCATAATACTAGTTAGATATATTTGTTAAAAAGTCTTTGATTCTATTTGGATAAGATAACCAAATAAAGAAAGTTGTTTATAAAAATGGCTACTCGTTCTTACATGACTCCTATTTATTCTCGTTCTCAAAGTGAGGTCCAAGGAGACCTTCACATCTTTGTTACTTCTGTAACATTACTACTGACAAAACACGTTGTTACTGCTAGAAAGAATATTCAATAAAGTCTATTTACATCTATTAAGAGATCATGGGGGAAAAGTGTCATTGAATGATTCCTGTTTATTGGTATTTTTAAATGCAGCGCTTTCAAACACACACGCACGCACAAGTACTAAACTCTCTATGTTTGTTTTGCACTACAAAACAGTCAACCTCGATAACGTTCGAATATCTTTCGCTTTCAAGGCATGAAAGATTGTAAAAAATTAGTTCCACTCATAAAATTGTCACTACTCTACTGCTGTCCGTTATTTCTAACCGTAATCGTTACAAATTAAAAAAAGAATATCCATTCGCATCCATACGAAATGGACAGCAAAAAAGCAAAATTGATATATATGATTTCTTGTCAAAGAATTCCCCACCGAATTTTTAATACATTGTTCTTAAATAAGTAAATTTCTCAGAACAATAGGTCATGACCGAGTACCTTAAAAAGGCTTGGTGGGTCGCAGGTTGAGGTGTTGAATTGATGGGGCTGGAGCTCCTGATCTCATACCGAGATCTTCATCTCCTGTCGTTCTAAAATTAGGTAGTATCGCTGAACGAGAGTATGACATTGATGCATGATGTGTGACGAAGGGTTTACATACAGAACACATAATTTAAAGTTGCATTTTTCTGCATTATTTCTTGCGTTCTTTTTTACTGTATTAGTCATTTTTTACTACACCGCTACGAAACCTTGGAGCGAATTATTAACAGCCCTGCATTATTTGATTTATAACCATATCAAAATGCACTCCATTTAAAAATATCGAAAACTAAAATTTTCAACGTGTTTTTTTTAACTACACAGTTTTTATAGTCTGAAAAATTTTATTTTTCTTAAAATTATATTGAAAATATTACACACAGAATCTTCAGACTCAATTTTTTTTCCAACACAAAAAAAGTATATCATGGTTGAAAGTTTTGATAAATGTGACTTGGCGTAAATATACCATTCATCATCCTTTGAATGAAGTGGGGAACTTTGTCTCTCTCTCTCTCTCTCATTCAATTTTTTCCACAGTCTTCGCATCAAATTTTAGTGTCTCTTGTATTTCAGATCCGTTTCTTTGTTCAAGATGAAACTTAAGAAAATTGTAAAAGTAAATCGCATTTAATAATTACGGTTCTCATCCAAAACACACACAAGTATTATAAAAAAAAGATTAAGTCAATTCCTACTTAGATCAACAAAGAAAATATTTTATTTCAGTTACTTTTTATTAAACAGTTACAATTAATATAAATATATACATACATATAACAGAATCGCAATATTAAGTGGCAAAATAGAAAGCGATTTTCCTTGCAATTTTCCATTTTCCTTTCCATATATGGTGATGGACTATTTTTTGTTTGTTTCTTACTATTTATATTCCTTAATTAAATTTAATTATTTTAATAAAATAGTATAGTAAAAAAGAAATCACTTTCTCAGAAGTTAGGCTATCTCAGGTGGGATTCCAACACACTAACTTTGGATTAGAAGTTCAACGCGCTATTTATTGCGCTACAGGGACACAACGTACGATTTTCCTTTCTATATATCCTATTGGACTCAAAGTCCTGCCGTTACTACGGAGTAGAAGTTCGGAGAGGGAGTGTCAGCTCAAGTGTTGTCCTAGTCACTTAGCAGCGGTTTAGAATTACGAAATCCGATGTTAATGGTCATCGTTTTTTTTTTGTGTGTGTGATGTTAACAACCACTCAGTCTCTGAGAGTTGATCATATGTCATTGATGATATATCTGAGATGATGATTCATGTTTCTTATTTCCATAAGACAGACAATAATACAATGTCCGTACTTCCGCAACAGGATGCTCAGTGGCTGAGAGATTGCGTGCCTGCTTTAAAAGCTCAAGATTGAGGTTCGATCCGAGCTAGAGAGTCGATTAATTTTCTGGATGTGAAAATCGTAGGCACTCATGATTATTGAGTATCAGTTTGGATCTGGTACTATAGGCAAAATTTAAATCATGGCAATATATGGCATCCGACTTGAGCTCGAAATAAAATTAATTCAAGCAATTTGGTAGTGAAGGCCGCTACTAGATGGTGCCACCATGAAATGGCTTTCACATTTGGGGAATTACCGTGTCTGCAAAGGCTCAGTTACCAATACGCAGCCCTTTTGGTAAAAAAAAACACTAGGCTTTTGAGATTTTTCATATCACTCGACAGATATAATTCCTATTAATTTCTCAGCCTAAAATGTAATGCCTTGAATCTGGTGATTTATGAAGATCATGTTCGTAAAAGCAAGCTACTGTAAAATCTAGTTGGCAAATAGATGGTGAATGTAAGTATCTTAATTGTATTAATATTAAATTAGTTTTATTCCCATTTAATATCTGTATAGTTTAATAGTTAAAAAGGTTTATGGATCTTAAATAGGGCATCAAAAACTCAAAAAAATTTCAAAGGTTTTTGGTTCTTCATGAAGGAAAAAACCGGTTAACCGGGTTTTTAATCTAATTTTTAAATAAAAAAATTTGAAAAAACAGCACATATTACTTTAAATATATAATAACACATATCTTAAATATAATGGAATTATAAACCAAGGAAAATAAATAAAAATATAGCAATGATAATAATTTTTTTATTTAAGAATTATAAATGAAATAAAAAGAAAAATTACTTAAGGTATCCGACTACCCTAAAATCATGATTTTTTTTTTGAAAAATTGACAATTTTTTTGTTGATTTTATTTCATGGGCCATATTATTAGCTTAATAAAAATTTAAAGTTTTTTATTTTCCATTTACTAGAACAAAAACTACAAGTGTTTTAGTAAGAGCACTTGCCATAACTTTACACAAGATATGAAACATTAAAATGCGTTTTACTCTAAATGTGTTTTTTTTTCGAAAAGCTCTAACAGGGACAGGGATTGCTCAAAATGTTTTGGAAATAATTGAAGTGCTCTGGTTTTTGCAAAAATTAAAATACCTCTTATCCTGAAGGTCATTTCAAACATGAATAAGAAGGCAACACATCAAAATTGAAAAATTAAGATTTTGCTTATAAAATATTTGCATAGAGCCCCGTTTGTGTAATTTTTTGTACATTTTCACCAGTTTTTCCGATTTTAATAATAATACACTTTTTTGTTCTGTTTTCAATTTTAGGATTTTTTTTCTTAAAATATACTAAATAAATCTAAAGTCACAAAAAAATACACCATATTTTCATTTCTTCAAAAAAAAGTTGTCGCAAGTAGTTGGATACCTTAAGTTTATTATTCATATTTCATTACGTGAAAAGAGTGGAAAAGTAACATGAAACGTAACTTATAAATCTTGTCTTTAAATAAAATAATATTTGAAGAAAACAAATGCTTTTTCAACAAGTGATATTTCATTGACGAACATAAATTGGGATATAAATTACTACCGACTGAAAAACTTCTGTTATATATATTGTCTGTCTACGTGGGTTGAAGTGATGTAAGAGCACATTTAGTACTTAATATTCAATACATAATACATAAAATACGCAAGATATTAATTTAAGATATATGTTACAACATAAAGCGATGGTTTAAAAATCATTATTCATTTTTTTGCTTTTTAATTTTATTTGACTCTCAATTCCACTTACTTTTTGGTTGTAATATTTTTTATTATTATTTAAACCAGTGTTCCGCAACCCCCAGTCCGCCCAAGATAAATTGTTTCTCTTTTATTTGCTGAGGTATATTTTTCTTAGGTTTGGGCTATTTTTTATGAAAATCACTTAATATTCATTTTTTGGTGCACCTACATTTTACTCAGAAGTTAGGATTAAATACAATTAAATTAAAGTTATGAAATCAAAAGTCTAAAATACAAACAATCAACATCCTTCCCCTCAGCGGCCCGCGGTTAAATTAACAAACGTTGACCAATCCGCAGCGATTGAAAGGTTGCGGAGCACTGATTTAAACATTATTCGTTCACTCATACAATAAACTTTTTTTACTTGAATTAAAATAAATTATAATATAGCAACTTCTTAAATAATAGAAAAATACAATTATTAATCCCTTGAAAAATATTAATTAATTTTCGGTTGTTCAGGAAAACCCAGTTTTACAGCAATGGGAAATAATAAGATAATAACCGGTTATTTATTTACCGCTTCGTAATCCTTGGCAGTTATTGGTTAAGAACCGTTAGTACAGAGTGTTTTTTTTTTCAGGTATAGAAGTTTAAGATGGCATTACTTTCCAAGATGGCGACCGATTTAACAGCTGTCAAATGATTTATTCTCAGTTTGGTTTGGCAATTCATCATGAATAGACTCACGCCTGAACAACGCTTTCAAATTGTGCACTTTTATTTTAAAAATAATGGTCGATTTTCATAAGCGAATTTCGTTTACCGATGAAGCGCACTTCTGGTTGAATGGCTACGTCAACAAACAAAACTGCCGCATTTGGAGTGAAGCTAATCCCCAAGTGTATGTCGAAACACCGTTACATCCAGAAAAACTGACTGTTTGGTGCGCTTTATGGGCTGGTGGAATCCTTCTTCAAAAACGATGAAGGCCACAACGTTACAGTCAATGGTGATCGGTATAGAACCATGATTACTAACTTTTTCATTCCTGAATTGAACAATCAGGATGTCCAGGAGCTGTGGTTCCAACAAGACGACGTAACATGTCACACAGCTCGTGCCACAATCGATTTATTCAAAGACACGTTTGGTGACCGCCTAATTTCACGTTTTGGACCTGTGAATTGGCCTCCAAGATCTTGTGATTTAACACCGCTAGACTATTTTCTGTGGGGCTATATAAAGTCATTGGTCTATGCGGATAAGCCACAAACGCTTGACCACTTGGAAGACAACATTGGCCGTTGTATTGCCGATATACGGCCACAAATGTTGGAAAAAGTCATCGAAAATCGGACGTCCAGATTGGACTACATCCGAGCCAGCCGTGGCAGTCCTTTGCCAGAAATCATATTTAAAATGTAATGCCACAAGATTATCTTTCGAATAAAAAAAAATTCATGTCAATCGAATAATACATCGTCGTTTTATTGCAATTCAAAGTTCTATACCTCTAAAAAAAACAGCCTTTATTACTTAAAAAACATAAAGAGGCTTTTGAAATATGAAAAAGAATTAAATTATTTAAATACTTTCCGCGTGTAAAAACAGATTTTTTTATTTTACTTTATGACCATAATAAATTCTAAAATTACTAGAAGGAGGGAGAGGTACTTCTTGTCCGACTAAAGGCGGACCAATCCTCGTTGCTCAAACTATACAACTGGTCATACTCATAGCTCAAATTGTAAAACCGTAATTTATATGTATTACGTAGTTCTATTCGTATTCATAATTGGCTATAAAATTTACAACTCATCGTCACGTTCAAATAATTTTGCATCTTCACGCAAAATGCTTTTAATGTTGTGAAGATGTAGTTCATTTTATTGTATGTACCTTATGTATAAATAATTTTAGTACAGCATCACGAAAAACTTTTTATATAGAGATAAAGGTCCTTTTTTATTTACATGTCTGAAGTAAATTATGTAATGTAACCACAAATTTAAATTTCAATCATCCTTTCAGGGTCTCTGTTAATTCCCGTCGCTCTATAAAGCAACGCGAGGGCTGCTGGCGACGGACCTCGTAATTTTGAACCATAGTACAGTAAAGATGACGAGCAGGCAGCCTCTCTGAACTTCCACACCAAGCTAAATCCTCATATCAAAATCATGGGTTATAAATGAAATTAAGACAATTATATATTTAAAAAAAATGCAAAATTTAGTATAATTATTTTGACTTAAACGATTTTATGTCAAAATATAAACTTTAATGAAAGGGCATTATTAAGTTAACCTCAATTTTTTTTTTTATATTTTAAGGATATATGTATTAAAATTAATAAAAATTGACAAAATTGTAACCTAAATAAAAAAAACAATAATGAGTTTTTGACAGCCCAATGAACAAGAACTATAAGTTACGGTTAAAGAAAATTGTAACTTTTTTTAAAATTCCTAATGGAGCTGCGGGTTGGTATTTTACCATTGCAGACCTAGTATGTTTTCCGGAAGCTCTGGTATCTCTTCTTAGTGAGGCACCACATAAGGTGGTATATAAATCACCGCAAAGAATTTTGGCGCTCAGTTTCCCCTCACATCTCCCTAAAGGAAGACATCCGAGCTCTGATTATAGAAAGCCGTACTAGGAGTTTAATTTTGCCGTTGTCAATTTTCTGCATCATGGAAATCTACCGACACTAGCCCGGGGTCAAACTCGCAAACGGGATCGCGCAAAACAAATTACACTAATCCCAGTTGACAGAATATTAAAATGCATAAAATTAAGTTTGCTTACAATTTTTTTATTATTCAAAACAAAAATACAATATAAATTTAAATAAAGTTCGATCTTTAAGTACAACTAAAAATGTTTAAAAGGTATATTTAGTTAACAAAAATGGACAAAATGTGCGCTATAAATTAAAAAAAAAAAGTTTGCAATACAAAAATCAATGAACGCGCAAGATCCATTTTTATTTCTCAAAGATTTTCATGTCTGAATAAATAAAAGTTTACTTTATATAAAGAATGTTAAATTTCACGAAAGAAAGATGACTCTGAAAATATTTCAAAAGATGCACTGCTGGGAAAACACAATGCAAATTCTATTTTCCTGAAAATGATTTTTATAAAAGTTCCTCTAAGCCTAACAAAAAACATGTTTGCCGAACTAAAATCCGGCATGCATTTGAACATTTCAAAAGGATCAGAAAATGACAAAACACATTTTTATGAAAATGAATGCCTTATGGTAAAATATTAAGATGTTCAAAATGGAAATTTTAATAAATGAAATTTTTTCTCCAACTACTCTCTGTACAATAAATGTTTTACTATAAGCAATTATTGTTTAAAATGACAGACAAGTTAATTTTGAGATATAAATGTCTCAAGTATAAATAAAATAAATATAATTAATGCTTATTTAAAATAATTTCTTTGATTTTGTCTTAAAGAGATATTTTTACTTCGTTAGTATGCAGTAAATTGAATTAAAATATTTTTAAGGGTTTTGAAGATAGTTGAAAGTTTTTATTATATTTAACAATGTGTGTGTGCACTGTACATTACATTTATCTGTAAAAAAGTAATTTCGACTAATAAAACATTATTTTTTATCAAAATTAAAGTATTTAGTGTAGTCTTAACAAATATTAAAATTAATATAAATTCATTAAAACATATTTTTAAAAGAAAAACATATCATATTCCATTTTCAAACCAACGAAAAATCTAATTGTAATAAATTTAAACAGAGATTGTTCAAAGAGATCTTCATTATTATGGATTTATTCTGATAAAATTATTATTTTTGTGAATAAACCTATTACACTTATTAAACATTAGTTAGGAAGCTATTAGGAACTAACCCCCAAAAAACGTTGATAAATAAATTAACAATTAAGTGTAAAATATTCATCTCACTTTTAATAGATGTCTTTTTTTTCTGTTTATATTTTTATTCGTTTTATTTGAACAGGAGTTTATATTTTGAATTAGAAATCGTAATTACAATGCAAGAAAAAGCAGAGCGTGACTTAAAATCGTTTCTTACGCGATTCACTCTCTCCTTATATAATATACATTCCGGAACATTGAAAATAGAGACCCAAGAAGGAAGCTAAGTACAATCGCGAAACTTTGCAAATAAGTACAGCGTAATGTGATATGTAAATGATCCAAGTTTTGTGCCAATACGCATGCTCATACACGCCGAATTGGCGCTACAATCAGAAAGAGGGTGCTATATAAGCCAGCGTAAATTCGAAGATTCATAAACGTGACGATTACCCGCCGATTGTAGGAAGAATTTGGTAAGCAAAACATGCCAGGTAAACGTGTTAGAAGACATTTCTCACAGTTAAGTGAGTTTGAGAGAGGCTTGCTCATCGGGATGAAAACTGCAGGCTGGTCGACGCGCCGTGTTGCTGGCCAGGTGGATTCTTCGGAGTGTGCCGTTAGAAATTATTGGGAGCAGTGGACACGAGAAAATACCCACGCGCGGAAAACAGGGCCTGGAGCGACCAGGAAGACCACGAGGAGAGAGGATCGAAGGATCGTGAGGCAAGCACTTCTGGACCCCACAATGACTCGTTCAACGATAGGAGAAGACGTAGGCGTATCAATTGTTCCCCAAACAATTTCCAGACACCTTGCAGAAGCAAATCTTAAATCCAAGCGCCCTTTCCGTGCACTCCCTTTAACACCGGAACATCGGCAACTGCGTCTACAGTGGTGCCAAGCCAGATCAATGTGGAATGTCACAGATTGGCAAAAGGTTGTGTTTGGTGATGAATCCCGGTTTGTTTTGGGGACAAATGATAACCATGTACGGGTGTGGAGGCCCCATGGTGAGCGGCACGATTCCCCCCACACTGTTCTACGTCACACTGCCCGCACATCTGGTGTAATGGTCTGGGGGGGCATAGCCTATGATAGCCGGTCCACTTTAATTGTGATGCGTGGAACCTTAACGGGCCAACGTTACGTTGATGAAATTCTTCTACCCCATGTAGGACCTTTCTTAATGGTCTTCCATGCGCAATTTTCCAGCAAGATAATATTCGTCCGCATACAGCAAGAGTTGCTCAAGACTTCCTACGTCATTTTCGGGCTCGCTCCCCCTATTCGTCCCCTGTAGAGCCCATGGGGGATCAGCTAAAACGGTAAATGCCATCGTGTCACTCTGTACATGATTTAGAGTTGGCTGTTCAAGATTTGTGGGCCCATCTGCCTCAGGATAACATAAGATGTCTAATCAATTCAATGCCAGACCGTGTGGCGACATGTATTGCAGCTGGAGGTGGTCCAACGCACTATTAAAGTTGCCCAGTATTTGTGTCGTTGCACACCCTGTATTCATTTAATTGTCTTGTTTTTGAGATCAAGTGAATCTCTCATCTGTGTCATTATGTGTATTAAATTTCATTTCAATCCGATGCTTTCTTCTTGGGTCGCTATTTTTAATGTTCCTGAGTGTGTATATATATATATATATATATATATATATATATATATATATATATATATATATATATATATATATATCTTGTTGAAAAATTTCAATAGTTAATAAAATACTTTCCATTCGTCCATTCAAGTTCAAATAGGTTTTTTTTTTAAACTTGTAATGGATAACACTTGATGTTTATTCAGTTATATCAAATATTTTTTATTCATTAATTAAATTTAAAAATAAACAAATAGAAACAAAAATAATAGTCCAACACCCTATATACAAAAGATCTTTCGTTGTGTCCCTGTAGCGCAATGGGTAGCACGTTGGACTTCTAACTCAAAGGTCGTGAGTTCGAATCCCACCTGGGTTGGCCTAATTTACGAGGATGGGATTTATTTTTACTGTACTATTTTATTACAATAATTAAATTTAATTCATGAATAAATAGTAACAAACAAACAAAATTGTCCAAAACCCTATATAGAAAGGGTGGCCTTTTGTTGTGTCCCTCCCTGTAGCGCAATACATAGTATATTGGACTTTTAATCCAAAAGTTGTGGGTTCGAATCCCACTTGGGATGGCCTAATTTACGAGGTGATTTCTTTTTTTTACTGTACTATTTTATTAGAATAATTAAATTTATGAATATAAATAGTAACAAACAAATAAAATTGTCTAACACCCTATATAGCACGGAAAATTACAAGGAAAATCGCTTTCTGTTTTGTCACTTAATATTGTGATTCTGTTATGTATATACATATTTATATTAACTGTAACTATTTAATAAAGAGTAACTAAAATAAAATTCTTCTTTCTTGACCTTAGTAGGAATTGACTTATTTTTTTTTACATTACTTGTTGTGTTATAACAAAAAAGAAGTCCCGAAAACTTCTAAATTGTTTATTTGATTCACGATTTTACTCATTTATAACAGATTATCATAAGCTTTAGATGTGTAAAAGAATGATGGATAGTAAAAATACGCGGCGTGTCTGAAAACTAATCCTCGCGTTTCGTTTTACCACAACCGTAGAGGTAGTTTTGCAGTTCAACACTTTCGCTCACGTGTCTGTGGTTAATTGCCAGAACAGTGACACGTTTACAACCTAAAAGCGTTGCTTTTGCACGTGTCAGTGAGTGTTCAGAATGTTTACGATCATTGACGATCCAGCTGATTGTGAAGTGCGTTCTGTGATAGTTTTTTTTAATGCATGGAGTGTTAAGAAATTCATCTACTACTTGTAGAGGTTTGTAGTGAAGATATAATAAATGATGAAATGGGGATAAACTGTCCGCAATTTAGCGATGGACGCACCTACGTCAATGGAGAAGCTCGGAGTGAGCGGACTTCTGTTGTAAATGTTGGTGTAGTTGAAAAATAAAATGCAAAAATTCAAGAAAAAGAAGTAATACATAAAAAAAATTTTAAGTCAATTTCTATTTAGATCAAAGAAACATTTTATTTTAGCTACTTTTTATTAAATAGTTACAATTAATATAAGTATGTATATACATATGACAGAATCAGAACATTAAGTCGTAATTAATTTTTATTCATTATCATTAAAGTATCGTATTGTCATCCAAAACAATCGGATATAAAAAATTTCAGTTCAACTGAATGCTTTGAAACGTAAGAAAAAAACATTTTCAAGTTTTGACACAAGTCGCCAACGTGGCTGCATTTGTATTTCTTTAAATAATTAATTTTAATCAGTTAATTTTTATTAATAATAATTAAATTATTGTATTGTCATCCAAAGTGTATATAAAATCATATATAAAAAATTTCAGCTCAATTGAGCGCTTTAAAGTGTATTTTATTAACGATTGAAAATTTCGTCAAGATAAATAAATAGGGAGTGTGAGTTAATAGTAGAGGAATTAAAGAAATACAGACTGTTCACAATAAAATTGCTTTGTAATGAGTTTTCACAAATTTCAATAACTGTTCACTCGCGGCATTTTCCTTTAACTCTAGAGATGTTGAGATTTCAACGTTTGGATGCTCCCGTTGGATCTTTTTGGCTTCCTCAAAAGCGTATTTTTTTATTATTATTATTTTGAAAAGTTAAATGAATATCAGAATAAAAAATAGTACTATATATATAAATAAAACCAACATATATATATATATATATACAGAACATTTTGTGTAGGATTGATTGATTGAATATTAACGTCGCACTGTTCAGCTACACGAGGGCTTTTGGCGACGGACCACGTAATTTTGAACCATAGTCAAGTGACGTGGACGACACCTGAGCTGGCACCCCCTCTCCTAACTACCACACCACGGGAGGACGTTTCAGCTCTCGACAGATTTAACGTGCATCGCTGCCCTACACGGCGGGTCTTTAGTGGTACTGTTATCAAACTCGTGACAAAGCAAGCCGCGATCCGATACCTATACCACTCGGCTACCACGGCCACATTTGTGTAGGAATTTAGGACAGAAGACAAATTTATCCATTTTCGTGCATCATCCAAATTACCGTGGGTCGCCTAGTGGTTAGAACATCGGACTACAGACCGGAAGGCCTGGGTTTGATGCCACGAGTACACACGGAGTACGTGCTCGTTAAATCAGTAGTTCCGAAAATCTTGTGGGCTGAATCACGAGTGCAGAGGACTGGAGAATGTTTCCCTCCCCTTCAGTTCCATGCCTACATTGTGGAGGTGGAAATCGGTGGTGTCGCCATCTATCGTCCCTTTGGGAATCTCTCCGAGCTAAATCATACTGTCACCTGCATGGTGCTCAAGTCTAAGGCTAACGACAGGCGTACTTCCAGCCCCTTGCCACGGCGAATTTCGATCTGACTACGTCAGGCAGGTGGCATTAGAAACACCAACAACCAAATTACCTAACTCATCCTCATCTCTGAATTTATAGTAGAAAATGATTCATTGCCACTGTCATCACACTTATATCATAAAAAACATCAGAAGTATCACTTTCAAAATGGCTTGACATCTCATTCACTGTCACCTTTCGAAAATGCGAAACTGGCGCCACTTCAATCCTAAAGATGAAGTATAAATTTTCATGACTATTGTATTCGAGTCTCGATCATTTTGTCTAGTGCTTTCCTCTATCAGTAAAAGAATCAACTGCTTTGAAAGTGCTACGCACATTTGTAATATTTGAAACAGGTCAAAACCAAGATGGACACGCGCAGTGTGTCCATAACGTTAAGGCACTGGTGTCATTGGTGGCCGCATGTGGCCCGCAACGAACATTTTGTGATTCGGGAAATATATCGGCACAAAATAATATATAACCTTTGGGAGAAAAGCAACGAAAAAGCGAAGCTTAAACGTACTTCCTGAAGTGCAACATGAACAAATCAAGTTTAGTTGGTACTGTATCGTATCAAAAGCAAAAAATTTCAAATCTTAGAACCGAATTTGGAACAAGATTTTAATTATTTGGAAGACAAATCTTGTATTTGTTTCCTTCGATTTCTCTTCGAAAACCCGGTACTCAGACATATGCAAATGCATGTAATCAAGAGTCAGTGGGACTTAAATTTGAAGGCAAAATTCATTGAAGTGAGTGTACTCGAAATTTACAAATACAGTCGAACCTCTATTTTGCGTGTTTTTTTATGCAGTGAACTTTTTCCTGGAATCAAGAACACTTCCCGATTTTCTTCATAAAATAAGCTCCCTATAGCAAAGTGTATTTTCTATATAACGAACTTTTTTTCTTGTGATTCAATTTTTTTCTCGCCATTTTTTTAAAGTACTTCTACACATTTCAAGTTATTCTCTCTTTTGGTGCTCATAAATCTTGAACTGATTTTATTAGATACCTCACAAGCCCAGAGCAATAGAATTCTAGGCGTTTCATTTAAGAAGAGCTACCTTCAGCCCCCATTGTCCTAGTTCACAGTAAACATCTTCGATATCCGTTTCACACTCAGTGGAGTTGTCTCGTGTCCCCGTGTAATTCAACTAGTCTCCGTTCATGTTGATCAGGCGAACTGGTAGCATCGTTTCTTTTAGCTCGAAAATGTGAAAACGTAAGTGCTTGAGCATAAAAAAAACATTTAATTCTACAGGAAGTGGATAAAGGCATCAAGAAACTTTCCTTGCAATTTTTCTTTCTTTCTTTTCTTTTTCAATTCCTATTAGCTCACACTCTCTATATTTATTTATTTATTTATCTTCGTGGAATTTTCAATCGTTATCAAAATACATTTTAAAGCATTCATTGAGCTGAAATTGTATATACAAAATTTTTTTGGATGACAATTCAGTAATTTAACTATAATTCATAAAAATTAAATGTTTAAAACTAATTATTCAAATAATTACAAATACAGCCACGTTTGCATAATTTTTGGCGACTTGTGTGTCAAAACTTGAAAAGATTTTTTTTTCTCACGTTTTAAAGCATTCAGTTGAACTGAAATTTTATAGACACGATTGTTTAGGATGACAATACGATACTTTAATGATAATTAATAAAAATTAATTATCACGTAATGTTGTGATTCTGTCATATATGTATATATATATATATATATACACATATTTATATTAATTAAAACTATTTAATAAAAAGTAGCTAAAATAAAAATTTTCTTTCTTAATCTAAGTAGGAACTTACTTAATTTTTTTATTACTTGTTTTTTTTTTAATACGTAAGATGTATAAAATAAATATATATTAATTCACAAAAGGGTATGAATAATTACTTTTTTAATACATAGTGTTTATGAATTTAAAATTTGCTTTATGTGGTTTATAAAGTATATTGAAAGATGAACCTTTATATAACGAATTTTCCATATAACGAACTATTTTCAGGATTTAGCGACTTCGATATAAAGAGGCCCGACTGTATTTACCAGCCACATTTGAAAATGCTCAAAAATTCGCAAATGAAATTACTCCCATGTTTGGAAGTACTTAACTCTGCGAGCAATTATATTAAGTTATGAAAGAAAATATGTCTCCTGTTAAATATAGTTTCCTTGGATCAGTTTTGAAATTAATCGATGTGAACAAAATTTCTTCCGTAATAGGAAAGATAGCAGAGAAGAGGTGTCAAGAGAGCGTGTCAGGACGCAAACAATAAACTTGTGTTGTTCTTTTATATCTGTTAATTATAACGTATTATTTAAAATAAACAACGTTTCAATAAATATTGATTTTTTTTTGAAGCCCACCTAAAGTTAAACCTTGTTTGTTTGGCCGAAGTAAGCCTTTGAGTTGCATCAAGGGATAGATGGAGATGAAATCGCTCAGTGCGTTCGTAAAGGCCTAATTATTAAAGAAGGTATAGACAAGTTAGTTTTTAACCGATATGAAAAATTCCTGAACAATTGTGGTAACTAAGTAGAAAAATAGTTTACGACATGCTCTTTCATGTACAAATACCTTTTTTTTCTTATATGAGTTTTTTCAAAACGATATATAGTTTCGGGACGTGCCTCGTACTTGAATAAAGGGGAAACCATTGAAACATTTTATTGGTATAATCTTAATTTTTTTTACAAGTTAATAATTGTTTGTTAAAGTTGCTGCTTAATTTCTTAAAAATACAGATATTTACTTCGGAAAAATCT